CAGGGAAAAGATTTTTTATTAATTTAAAAGGATGAAAAAGGAGAGAAAATTCCATGAAAATTTTGGGAATTTTGGGGAAAAAAAAATTTAATTTTTATTTTTTTTTTTTTTTTTCTGGGAATTTTTAGGGAATGAGAAGGAAAAAAAAAATTGGGAAAATGTCCCCAAAATGAGGGAAAAATTCCTGGAATTTTTAAGGGAAAATCCTGGTATTTTTAAGGGAAAATTCCTGGAATTTTTAAGGGAAAATCCTGGAATTTTTAAAGGGAAAAATCCTGGAATTTTTAAGGAAAATCCTGGAATTTTTAAGGGAAAATTCCTCAAATTTTTAAGGAAAAATCTGGAATTTTTAAGTGAAATTTCCTCGAATTTTTAAGGGAAAATCTGGAAATTTTAAGGGAAAAATCCTGGAATTTTTAAGGGAAAATCCTGAAATTTTAAAGTGAAAATTCCTGGAATTTTTAAGGAAAAAATCCTGGAATTTTTAAGGGAAAATCCTGGAATTTTTAAGGAAAAATCCTGGAATTTTAAAGTGAAAATTCCTGAAATTTTTAAGGAAAAATCTGGAATTTTTAAGGAAAATCCTGGAACTTTTTATGGAAAATCCCTGAAATTTCAGAGTCTCAAAATTAAGGAAAATTCCCCAAAAAAATCCAGGAAAATTCCCACAAATTTGGGAGAATTCGCCCCAAAAATTCGGGAAATTGATCCCAAAATTCGGGAAAATCCCAAATTCAGGCGGAAAAATCCGATTTTGGGGGTTTTGACCACCAAAAAATGGGATTTTGGGGTTTTTTGGGAATTTTTGGGTGGATTTTGGGAACTTTGGGGACTTTTTGGGAATTTTTTGGGTTTTTTTAGGATTTTTTTGGGGTTTTTTGGGTGGATTTTGGGGTTTTTTTGAATTTTTTTTGTGGATTTTGGGTTTTTTTGGATTTTTTTTGTGGATTTTGGGGTTTTTTGGGAATTTTTGGGTGGATTTTGGGAATTTTTGGGGATTTTTGGGGAATTTTTGGGGTTTTTTTGGGGTTTTTTTTTGTAGATTTTGGTTTTTTTGGGAATTTTTGGGAATTTTTTCGGTGGATTTTGGGAATTTTTGGGAATTTTTTGGGTTTTTTTGTGGATTTTGGGGTTTTTTTGGAATTTTTGGGTGGATTTGGGATTTTTTTTGTTTTTTGGGTATTTTGGGGTGGATTTGGGGGCATTTTTGGGTCATTTCAAGGCATTTTTGGGTCAATTTTAGGAGTTTTTGGGACATTTTCTGGTGGTTTTTGGCATTTTTTGGTGTTTTTTGTGTTTTTGAGGCATTTTAAGGCATTTTTGGGTCATTTTTTGGTGGTTTTGGGTCATTTTAAGGCATTTTTGAGGCATTTTCTGGTGTTTTTGGGACTTCTTTTGACATTTTTAAGAGTTTTTGGGGCATTTTAAGGCATTTTTTGCTGTTTTTGGGTCATTTAAGGCATTTTTAGGTCATTTAAGGCATTTTTGGGTCATTTTTTGGTGTTTTTGGGTCATTTCAAGGTGGTTTTTGGGCCATTTTAAGGCATTTTTGGGGTATTTTTGGGCGTTTTTGGGTCACTTTTGGTGTTTTTAGGTCATTTTTTGGTGTTTTTGGGTCATTTTCAGGCATTTTTGGGTCTTTTTTGTGGTTTTGGGTCATTTTTTGTGTTTTTAGGTAATTTTTTTGTATTTTTAGGTCATTTTTTGGTGCTTTTGGGGGATTTTGGGTCATTTTTGATGGATTTTTTTGTGGTTTTGGGTCATTTTTTGTGGTTTTGGGTCATTTTTTGGGGTTTTGGGTAATTTTCAGGTGTTTTGGGGTCATTTCCGGGTGTTTTTGGGTCATTTTCGGGTGTTTTTGGGGTCATTTTCGGGTGTTTTGGGGTCATTTTCGGGTGTTTTGGGGTCATTTTCGGGTGTTTTTGGGTCATTTTCGGGTGTTTTTGGGTCATTTTCGGGTGTTTTGGGGTCGTTTTCGGGTGTTTTTGGGTCATTTTCGGGTGTTTTTGGGTCATTTTTGGGTGTGTTTGGGTCATTTTTTGGTGTTTTGGAGTCATTTTCAGGTGTTTTGGGTCATTTTTGGGTGTTTTTGGGGTCATTTTCAGGTGTTTTTGGGTCATTTTCGGGTGTTTTGGGGTCATTTTCGGGTGTTTTTGTGTCATTTTCAGGTGTTTTTGGGTCATTTTTGGGTGTTTTGGGTCATTTTCGGGTGTTTTTGGGTCATTTTCAGGTGTTTTTGTGTCCTTTTCGGGTGTTTTGGGGTCATTTTCGGGTGTTTTTGGGTCATTTTCGGGTGTTTTTGGGTCATTTTCGGGTGTTTTTGGGTCGTTTTCGGGTGTTTTTGGGGTGTTTCAGAACCCCAGGGGGGTTGGCACCACCACCCCCCCGTTCTCCACCAAGGCTCCTGAAAGTTCCCGAAAGTTCCGGAAGCTTCGGCTCGGGAGCTGCCGCAGCGACCCCAGGACGCGCCCGTGGGCCTGGGGAGGGGAGGGGAAAACCAACCAAAATCAGCTCCAAATCAGCCCCAAATCAGCTCCAAATTAGCCCAAAATTAGCCCAAAATTAGCCCAGAATTATCCCAAAATCAGCCCCAAATCAGCTCAAAATTAGCCCAGAATTATCCCAAAATTATCCCAAAATCAGCCCAAAATCAGCTCAAAATTATCCCAAAATTATCCCAAAATTATCCCCAAATCAGCCCCAAATCAGCTCAAAATTATCCCAGAATTATCCCAAAATCATCCCAAAATCAGCTCAAAATTATCCCAAAATCAGCTCAAAATTATCCCAGAATCAGCCCAAAATTATCTCAAAATTATCCCAAAATTATCTCAAAATTATCCCAAAATTATCTCAAAATTATCCCAAAATCAGCTCAAAATTATCCCAAAATCAGCCCAAAATCAGCTCAAAATTATCCCAAAATCAGCTCAAAATTATCCCAAAATCAGCTCAAAATTATCCCAGAATCAGCCTAAAATTATCTCAAAATTATCCCAAAATTATCTCAAAATTATCCCAAAATTATCTCAAAATTATCCCAAAATCAGCTCAAAATTATCCCAAAATCAGCCCAAAATCAGCTCAAAATTATCCCAAAATTAGCCCAGAATTATCCCAAAATTATCCCAGAATTATCCCAAAATTATCCCCAAATTAATCCTTAAAATATCCCAAAATTATTCTGGAATTTTCCCCAAATTGTCCCAAAATTAATCCTTAAATTATCGCAAAAAATCCCCAAAAAACCCCAAAAAATCCCCCAAAAAATCCCCATAAAATCCCAAAAAATTCCCAAAAAGTAAAAAAAAATTCCCAAAAAAATCCCCAAAAAATCCTTAAAAAATCCCCCAAAAATCCCCAAAAATCCCCAAAAAATCCCCAAAAATCCCAAAAATATCCTGAAAAAATCCCAAAAAAAATCCAAAAAAATTCCCAAAAAATCCCCAAAAAATCCCCAAAAAAACCCCCAAAAAATCCCCAAAAAATCCCAAAAAATTCCCAAAAACTCAAAAAAAATTCCCAAAAAAATCCCAAAAAAATCCCAAAAAATCCCCCCAAAATATTCCCAAAATATTCCTAAAAAATCCAAAAAAAATCCCCCCAAAATCCCCCAAAAATCCCAAAAATCCCCCAAAAAATCCCCAAAAAATCCCCAAAAAATCCCCAAAATCCCCCAATTCCCCGATTTTCCCCCAAAGCCCTCCCAGCATTCCCAGATTTCCCGGAATTCCCGGAATTCCCGGATTTTACCTCCTGGCACCAGCTGAGGGCGAGGAGCCGCTCGTGTTGGGCCGTGGGGAGCCCCGAACTCAACGACCTCGAGGCCCTGGAAGGGAGCGGGAATTGGGGGGAAATTCCCGGGAAAACCCAGGGGAAAATCCCGGGAAAATCCCAGAAAATTCCCGGGAATTGGGGGGAAATTCCCGGGAAAATCCCAGAAAAATCCCGGGAAAATCCCAGAAAAATCCATGGAAAAATCCATGGGAAATTCCCGAGAAAATCCATGGAAAATTCCCGGGAATTGGGGGGAAATTCCCGGGAAAATCCAGGGGAAATTCCCGGGAAAATCCCAGAAAATTCCCGGGAAAATCCATGGGAAATTCCCGGGAAAAATCCCAGAAAAATCCATGGAAAAATTCCCAGGAAAATCCATGGGAAATTCCTGGGAAAATCCATGGAAAATTCACAGGAATTGGGGGAAAATTCCCAGGAAAATCCAGGGGAAATTCACGAGAAAATCCATGGGAAATTCACGGGAAAATCCCAGGAAAATTCCTGGAAAAATCCATGGGAAGTTCCCGGGAAAATCCCAGAAAAATCCCGGGAAAATCCCAGAAACATCCATGGAAAAATCCATGGAAAATTCACGGGAATTTGGGGAAAATTCCCAGGAAAAATCCCAGAAAAATCCATGGAAAAATCCCAGAAAAATCCATGGGAAAATCGCCAGGAATTTGGGAAAAAATTCCCGGAAAAATCCATGGGAAATTCCCAGGAAAATCCATGGAAAAATTCCCGGGAAAATCCATGGGAAATTCCCGGGAAAATCCCAGAAGCATCCATGGAAAAATCCATGGAAAAATCACCGGGAATTTGGGAAAATCCCGGAAAAATCCATGGAAAAATTCCCAGGAATTTGGGGAAAATTCCCCGAAAAATCCATGGAAAAATCCCTGGAAAAACCCCCGGGAATTTGGGAATTTTGCTGGAATTTGGCTCCAAGTTCAGCCCAAAAATCCCCAAAAATCCTCCCAGAACCCAAAAATTCCCCCCAAATTCCCCCAAATCCCCAGAATTCCCAAAATTCCAGCAAGAATTCCCAAAAATCCCAAAAAATCCCCCAAAAATCCCCCAAAAATCCCCAAAAATCCCAAAAAAATTAAAAAAAAATCCAAAAAAAAAAAAAAAATCCCAAAAAATCCCAAAAAATTCCCAAAAATCCCAAATCCCTCCAAGCTCCCCCAGAATTCCCAAAATTCCCCAAAAAATCCCAAAAAAATCCCCAAAAATCCCCAAAAAATGCAAAAAAATTTAAAAAAAAATTAAAAAAAATAAAAAAAATATCCCAAAAAATTCCCAAAAAATTCCCAAAAATCCCAAATCCCTCCAAGCTCCCCCAGAATTCCCAAAATTCCACCCAGAATTCCCAAAAATCAAAAAAAATCCCCCCAAAATCCCCCCAAAATCCCAAAAAAATGCAAAAAAATTAAAAAAAAAATTAAAAAAAATAAAAAAAAAATCCCAAAAATTCCCAAAAAATTCCCAAAAATCCCAAATCCCTCCAACCTCCCCCAGAATTCCCAAAATTCCCCAAATTCCAGGAATTCTCCCCCAAATTTACCGGGATAAAACCACGACCATGGCGTAGATGTCGATGGCGGCGTCAGCCACGCGCATCAGGGCGAATTGTTCCTCTGATTTTTTTTTGGGGGGGAATTTTGGGGTTTCAGGAACCTCAAAATCCCCCAGAAGCCCCAAAAATTGAATTTTTCGTCCCAAAAAACCCCAGGAACCCCAAAATTCCCCAAAAATTTGGGTTAAAAACGACCAAAAATGGAAAATTCCACCTCAAAATCCCAATTTTTTGCCCCAAATCCCCCCAAAATTCAACCCAAAAAACCCCAAAATCCAATTTTTTATCCCCAAAAAATCCTCAAACCCCAAAATCGAATTTTTCATCCCAAAAAACCCCAGGAACCCCAAAATTCCCCAAAAATTTGGGTCAAAAACGACCAAAAATGGAAAATTTCACCTCAAAATCCCAATTTTTTGTCCCAAATCCCCCAAAATTCAACCCAAAAAACCCCAAAATCCAATTTTTTATCCCCAAAAAATCCTCAGGAACCCCAAAAATCGAATTTTTCGTCCCAAAAAACCCCAGGAACCCCAAAAATCCCCAAAAATTTGGGTTAAAAACGACCAAAAATGGGAAATTCCACCTCAAAATCCCAATTTTTTGCCCCAAATCCTCCCAAAATTCAACCCAAGAAGCCCCAAAATCCAATTTTTTATCCCCAAAAAATGCTCAGGAACCCCAAAATTGAATTTTTCATCCCAAAAATCCCCAGGAACCCCAAAATTCCCCAAAAATTTGGGTTAAAAATGGGAAAAAACGGAAAATTCCACCTCAAAATCCCAATTTTTTGCCCCAAATCCCCCCAAAATTCAACCCAAGAAGCCCCAAAATCCAATTTTTTAACCCCAAAAATCCCCAAAATCGAATTTTTCATCCCAAAAAACCCCAGGAACCCCAAAATTCCCCAAAAATTTGGGTCAAAAACGACCAAAAATGGAAAATTTCACCTCAAAATCCCAATTTTTTGTCCCAAATCCCCCAAAATTCAACCCAAAAAACCCCAAAATCCAATTTTTTATCCCCAAAAAATCCTCAGGAACCCCAAAAATCGAATTTTTCGTCCCAAAAAACCCCAGGAACCCCAAAAATCCCCAAAAATTTGGGTTAAAAACGACCAAAAATGGAAAATTCCACCTCAAAATCCCAATTTTTTGCCCCAAATCCCCCCAAAATCCAATTTTTTATCCCCAAAAAATGCCCAGGAACCCCAAAATTGAATTTTTCATCCCAAAAAACCCCAGGAACCCCAAAATCCCCCAAAAATTTGGGTCAAAAACGACCAAAAATGGAAAATTCCACCTCAAAATCCCAATTTTTTGCCCCAAATCCCCCAAAATTCAACTCAGGACCCCCCAAAATCCAATTTTTTAACCTCAAAAATCCCCAAAATCGAATTTTTCATCCCAAAAAACCCCAGAAACCCCAAAATTCCCCAAAAATTTGGGTTAAAAACGACCAAAAATGGAAAATTCCACCTCAAAATCCCAATTTTTTGCCCCAAATCCCCCAAAATTCAACCCAAGAAGCCCCAAAATCCAATTTTTTATCCTCAAAATCCATCCCAGGAACCCAAAAATTGAATTTTTCATCCCAAAAAACCCCAGGAACCCCAAAATTCCCAAAAAATTTGGGTTAAAAACGGGAAAAAATGGAAAATTCCACCTCAAAATCCCAATTTTTTGCCCCAAATCCTCCCAAAATTCAACCCAAGAAGCCCCAAAATCCAATTTTTTAACCCCAAAATTGAATTTTTCATCCCAAAAAACCCCAGGAACCCCAAAATCCCCCAAAAATTTGGGTCAAAAACGACCAAAAATGGAAAATTCCACCTCAAAATCCCAATTTTTTGCCCCAAATCCCCCAAAATCCAATTTTTTATCCCCAAAAAATGCCCAGGAACCCCAAAATTGAATTTTTCATCCCAAAAATCCCAAAAACCCCAAAATTCCCAAAAAATTCCGCCTGAATTTACCCAAAATCCCCCAAAATTCACCCCAAAAAAATTCTCAAATTTTGGGTAAAAATGGGAAAATTTTGGTTAAAATTTAATTCAGAATTCCCAAAAATTCCAGGAAAAAATTTGGGAATTTTTGGGATTTCCCAACTTTTCCCTTTGGGGAGGGAAAATTGGATTTTTACCCTCAAAAAATGAGGAAAAAAAATGAAAATTTCGTTAAAATTTGGGATTTTTTTGGGTTTTTTTGGCTTTTTCGAGGTCGGGATTTTTTGGGAATTGTTCTAAAATTTGGCAATTGTCCCAAAATTGGGGTTTTTTTCCCCAAAAAAATCCTCACCCACGATTTTTTGGCCGTGTTTGATCAGCAGAGCCTCGGTGGTTTCGGAGAAGAGTTCCAGGCATTGCATGGCCTGGAAAAAGAAGGAAAATCGGTGAAAAATGACCCAAAATCGGCTGAAATTGACCCAAAATCGACCCCAAAATTGACCCAAAATTGACTCCAAAATGGCCCCAAAATTGACCCAAAATTGACCCAAAATTGACCCAAAAATCAGCTTAAAATTGGCCCAAAAATGGAAAAAATTGACCCAAAAATCAGCCAAAAATTGGCCCCAAAATCGGCTGAAATTGACCCAAAATCGACCCCAAAAATGACCCAAAATTGACCCAAAAATCAGCTTTAAATTGGTCCAAAAATGGCTAAAATTGACCCAAAATCAGCCCCAAAATTGACCCAAAATTGACCCAAAATCGGCCCCAAAATCAGCCAAAATTGGCCCCAAAATTGGCTGAAATTGGCCCAAAATTGAACCAAAATTGACCCAAAATCGGCCCCAAAATTGACCCAAAATTGACCCAAAATTGAACCAAAATTGACCCAAAATTGACCCAAAAATTGACCCAAAATTGACCCAAAATTGAACCAAAATTGAACCAAAATCAGCCAAAAATTGGCCCCAAAATCGGCTGAAATTGACCCAAAATCCGCCCCAAAATTGACCCAAAATTGACCCAAAATTGACCCAAAAATCAGCTTTAAATTGGTCCAAAAATGGAAAAAATTGACCCAAAATCAGCCCCAAAATTGACCCAAAATTGACCCAAAAATTCAAAATTGACCCAAAATTGACCCAAAATTGACCCAAAAATCAGCTTAAAATTGACCAAAAATCAGCCCCAAAATTGGCCCAAAAATGGACAAAATTGACCCAAAATTGACCCAAAAATGGCTAAAATTGAACCAAAATCAGCCCCAAAATTGAAGCAAAATTGACCCAAAAATGGAAAAAATTGACCCAAAATTGACCCAAAATTGAACCAAAATTGAACCAAAATCGGCCCCAAAATCAACCAAAAATTGGCCCCAAAATCAGCCAAAATTGGCCCAAAATTGAACCAAAATTGGCCTAAAATTGACCCAAAAATCAGCCCCAAAATTGGCCCAAAAATGGAAAAAATTGACCCAAAATTGACCCAAAAATGGCTAAAATTGACCCAAAATCCGCCCCAAAATTGACCCAAAAATGGAAAAAATTGACCCAAAATTGACTCAAAATCAGCCCAAAATTGACCCAAAAATCAGCTTTAAATTGGCCCAAAATCGGCTGAAATTGACCCAAAATTGACCCAAAAATGAGCCAAAAATTGGCCCAAAAATGGAAAAAATTGACCCAAAATTGAACCAGAATTGACCCAAAATTGGCCCAAAAATGGCTAAAATTGAACCAAAATTGACCCAAAATTGAACCAAAATTGACCCAAAAATGGCTAAAATTGAACCAAAATCAGCCCCAAAATTGACCCAAAATTGACCCAAAAATCAGCTTTAAATTGGCCCAAAAGTGGAAAAAATTGACCCAAAAATGACCCAAAATTGAACCAAAATTGACCCAAAATTGAACCAAAATTGACCCAAAAATCAGCCAAAAATTGGCCCAAAAATGGAAAAAATTGACCCAAAAATGGCTAAAATTGAACCAAAATCAGCCCCAAAATTGACCCAAAATTGACCCAAAATTGACTAAAAATCGCCCCCAAAATCAGCCAAAATTGACCCAAAAATGGCCAAAAATGACCAAAATTGACCCAAAATAGACCCAAAAATGACCAAAATTGACCCAAAATGGCCCAAAATTGTCCCAAAATTGGCCAAAATTGTCCCAAAAATGACCAAAATTGACCCAAAAATGGCCAATTTTGGGCTGATTTTGCTCCATTTTGCACCAATTTTGGGTCAATTTTGGCCGATTTTGGGTCAATTTTGGGTCAATTTTGGCCGATTTTGGGTCAATTTTGGCCAATTTTGGGTCAATTTTTGGTCAATTTTGGGTCAATTTTGGGTCAATTTTGGGTCAATTTTGGCCATTTTTGGGTCAATTTTGGGTCAATTTTGGGTCAATTTTGGGTCAATTTTGGCCAATTTTGGGTCAATTTTGGGTCAATTTTGGCCGATTTTGGGTCAATTTTGGGTCAATTTTGGCCGATTTTGGGTCAATTTTGGCCAATTTTGGGTCAATTTTTGGTCAATTTTGGGTCAATTTTGGGTCAATTTTGGGTCAATTTTGGCCATTTTTGGGTCAATTTTGGGTCAATTTTGGGTCAATTTTGGGTCAATTTTGGCCAATTTTGGGTCAATTTTGGGTCAATTTTGGCCGATTTTGGGTCAATTTTGGGTCAATTTTGGCCGATTTTGGGTCAATTTTGGCCGATTTTGGGTCAATTTTGGGTCAATTTGGGTCAATTTTGGGTCAATTTTGGGTCATTTTGGGTCAATTTTGGGTCAATTTTGGCCAATTTTGGGTCAATTTTGGGTCGAATTTGGGGTTTTTTGGGACCCCGGATCCGATTTTGGGGTTTTTGGGGCTGAATTTTGTTGTTTTTGGGGTGAATTTGGAGGATTTTGGGTTCAATTTTGAATTTTTGGGGCTGAATTTTGGTGGTTTTGGGGTGAATTTTGGGATAAATTTGGGGATTTTTGGGTCAAATTTGGGATTTTTGGGTCGAATTTGGGGTTTTTTGGGACCCCGGATCCGATTTTGGGGTTTTTGGGGCTGATTTTTGTTGTTTTTGGGGTGAATTTGGGGGATTTTGGGTTCAATTTTGAATTTTTGGGAGTGAATTTTGGGATAAATTTTGTTGTTTTTGGGATAAATTTGGGGATTTTTGGGGTAAATTTTGTTATTTTTGGGTCGAATTTGGGGTTTTTTGGGTCAAATTTGGGGATTTTTGGGTCGAATTTGGGGTTTTTTGGGTCGAATTTTGTTATTTTTGGGTCGAATTTGGGGTTTTTTGGGACCCCGGATCC